AGGTTTTGAAATACACATGTACAAATAAACCTGCGGTGTATATCGACATCCATATTGTATTGATAAATATGTACATACATATGTACATATATACATACATTACAATGGGTCACGGAAAAATATTTGTAATTACTCTCTTGGTTTTTCAAAGTTCATGTAATTATTTTAATATCATAACAATTTTCTTCCTTGCCGAGTCATAAAAACAGCCAAAATGGAATTTTGTTAACAACCTTTTTAAAGAGTTATATACACATAAATTTGGCCATTAATGATACCTAAACGATATGTCAACATTAATAAAATACTTGTCTAGTGGTTTTAAAAACCCATAGAGTGTGGTATGAGCATTATATGTATATACATATGTACATCACGATTATAATATTTTGGCGTTAAAGCCAGTGTTGCCAACTTTTGAAATTCAAAAAGCACCAAACCTTGGAAAAAGAGTGTTTTACCGTACTAAAAGCACTAAATCTTTTTTTAATCAAAGTATATTCTTTTTTCATAACAGTTTGTGGTAAACAAAAGGAAAACACTATTACATGTATAAATAAATACCAGGGAGCCGCATGGATACACTCAAATTACATTTTAAGTCACTCGCTTTCTTTTCACATCTGTACACACTCGCACTCATTTATTTCCAAACATAACGTGCGATATCATTGAAAAAACATTGTCGGTTGAGTGAGTAATTCACACTATCAAGTGCTCGATTCAAATAAAAACTGCTTGATTTGAAAAACAAATGCATGGCATAACTGCTGTAATGAAAGTATCAAAGAAAAAACATTTGTAAAGACAATTTTTGTTAATTTTTTTGGTTTCCTAACTGCATATTATAATGCAAAAATATCAACTGATTAAGGGCATCATCATTTGACAAAAGGTGGCATCTTTTGTCAGAAATAACATTTGCAGCAGAAGAAAAAACTCTTTCTGACGATGCGCTAGTTGAAGGAGCCTCGTATTACTCTACGACTGAGTTTATGCAGCAGCGGCATTTCGCATTTGTGTACCTCTCACCAATCAATTATACTGAAGTCCGTATGAAAATATACCTCAATATTTTCATATCGCCGCAGCTCTGCAGTAGCTTTATCAGTTCTGCTCACAAAGGTAGGTTGTTTAAGAAGACCTGAAAAGAGCTCAAAGTTGTCTGAAGGGAACAAAGGTGTATCCGCAATTTGTGGTTCCGTTGTACTGTCAGAATTCTCAGTTAACGTTCTCATAATTTGTAAACATTTCTCTTTTGTGTACATTTGCTCAGATTCGGTAAAGTTCTTGAGCTGTTTTGCTGGCGGGTATAAAAAAAGCACAATTTTGTGCAAATCTGTTAGTTTTCAACAGCAACTGTTTTTAAATAATAAAGCAACTTATTTTTCAAGTCCCTTATAAAGCCGATGTCTTCTGAGGTAACATTGCATTTCTTTTGTAGACTAATTATATAAATGTACGTCAGGTGCATAACTAAATAATTTAGTAAAACTAATATATTTAAAAAAATACTTCATCAATATCCATTTTTTTCAAAATTGTCGTATTCTCTACTAATTGTTTGAAGTCAATGGGTGTCATTCGATTGCTCGACTTGCTTTTCATAACAGCATTTTTCACTCGCTTGACTTGATTTGGAAAGAGTATATCAATGCCATATTTGAAATCAAATGAGTACACTGCAGCTAAACATTGATTTCAAAACTAACTATGAATCTCACTGTTTGTACGGTGTTTCTCACTAACCTAATAGAGTTCACAGCAACGAGTTCATACTGTTTAGATGGAAGTGAGTCAACTCATGCTGTTGTCTGATAAATACCCACTCATGCTTACGAAGTAATACCGAAGTACTGCACATTAAAACTGGTACATCTGGAGAAAAAACAATCGAATCGCAACAAACGAAATTAAATTTTAAAGGGGAAGAGTAATACTTAATGATACCCTAAGTAGAAATGAGCGAAAAAATTTGTTGTTTTATAATATAACTCCAAATATTGCGAAAAACCGTGTTTTTACACTTAGAGGTTAGGATATCTCAAAATTCTGACATGGTAGAGAAATTCTGCAGCCAGTTTTGGATTCAGCACCGAAAAATCTACAAAAACCGATGCACTCAGGTGGCAAAAGGAGATAAAATTTTTCGAACCGTGTAATCAATCAATAATCAAGAAAATAAAGAAATAACTTAACTTATCTGCGTGCTAGCATTTTCAACGCGAATACAATTTTACAAGAACGCAAGAACGTGGGTTTGCAACTTCATCTTTTTATCAATCATGGTTTGCGTTTTAGTGCATTTAAATTTGTAGATTCTTGTAAATTCAGAAATTTTAGTTAAAAAAAAACACTAAAAAGGGCACTAGGCACTAAACCATTTTGTTTGGCGTTTTAATTTTTAAAAAGCACTAAATCTAGTGCTTAAAGCACTAAGTTGGCAACTATGGTTAAAGCTTTTGCTAAGTGTTTGATCAAGCTTCTCCAGTACGGTGCTGCACTCCCCTTTTTAACCGACTTCCAAAAAATGAGGAGGTTATCAGTTCGTCGGCATATTTTTTTTATGTATGTTGTCGGCATATTTTTATTTTTTTGTTATGTATGTTACCGCATAACTTTGGACCACGTTAACCGATTTCGATAATTCTTTTTGCATCGGAAAGGTAGTGTCTCGGAGTGGTCTCATACTAATCTGGTTTAGATCAGATCATTGGATCATGAAAAATGTAACGATACTCCTAAATTTTTATATGAGAATTGAAGTCGGTTTTGTTATTTGCTTAAAAATTACTTGGTTACTCATGCGTTTTACATATGTTATTAGTAGCGGCACATAAAGTGAAATGCATTCAACTTTGTTGATAGTGGTAGTTTAAAAAATTTCCTTTTTTCGAATTTCAGGCAGCAGCCACGCCCACAAAGGCATAAAAATCGAAACATCTTGGAACAAAATCTTCTTAGTTTTTTTTTTTACTTTAATTCCTGAAAGAAAAAAATTAAATGAACAGACGCCACACACATACCAAAGCATCTCGTAGTGGAGATACGAACCAAAATCAATTTAGCTTTATACCTTTCCAACTAGTAGCCGGAACTCCATATATAAGGTATCGTTTGAAAGGTATTGGCCTATAGAATAACAATAAATATGTTGGGTGTACCCACATACCACCTTAAACCGGCTAAAGCAAAAAAAAAACGTTTTTTTGTTTCGCAACACTTTGGCCTAATTTTAAAGAATCCGGTTAATCGTTTATAAAGCTTGAATACATTTTCTGGACACACTCTGCAAGACCTTTCCAACGATGCCTCAAACATGTCGATTGGACGTCTTGTAGTATTACAGTAAATACACCACTCTAATGCATTTACAAATATCGACCGCACACGATATCAATGCCATCATGACCCACATAAGTCATAATGAACTCAGCGGGAATTCAACACCAAACGTTCAAAGGCACAGTTCAGCTTACACTTGCCAATTGCATTACTCAAGACAGGCACACTGACCAACTCACGTGACGATCAGCTTAACAGATCGTCAGCGTCAGTTTGGCAGTGCGACTGCCAAAATAACTATGACACATACGCTGAGTTAGCATAACATATGCACATTTGTGGTTTGTAAGTATTAGTGTAAATTAGGGTAAGAAATCTTGTATAAAAGAAAGTAATTTCGAATAAAGAAATCAATTCTAGTTGCACGCTACATATAAGCGTTTCATTCTTTTCATGGCGATCCTGCCTTAATCTGCGAGAAAAAAAATAAATATAAAATTTTAAATCGTTTTCGTGATGAAGCGAAAGTGCGCGCGTTATTAGACAGTTAAATTACGCTTTACCACAATGGCTTGATGGAAGAAAATGTTAAGTGTTTTGATGATTGCGTTTTCCGGGTACGAAGTCGGAGAAAGAAACAAATATAAATGCTGTAGAAAAATATACAGAACAGACACATTTCGAGGATGTGTACAAACAATTGGGAAGAAAATACAAGGAAAGTGAACAAAAGACAGAGAAGTGGCAAATCGTTGCACTCGTAATAATTGTTATAGCCTTAATCGCGGTGTATGTTGCAGTAAAAAATACAATGAAGCGGTCAATGACAAACCGCATCTAAAAAAAAAAAAAAAAAAAAAATAAGCTTTTAAATCATCTCTAACTAAAATATATATGAAAAAGAAGAAGTGCCTATCTCCGAGGCGCCGACGCCCTCACATTTCTGGGAGTGAGGACAGCTTTAAACTTCGCATCATCAACAGCAGCCAGCAAGCAACAATCAAATCAGCAACACTCTACAAATCGAATAGAAAGCTAAGTTAATAAATTTAATTTATGTACTCATTTATTTTTTTACCTTTTATTCAATTTATGCAACATAAAATCAACATCAGTGTAAAAATTTAATACTTATTTGACATTCCATTACTACAAACGGATTTAAATCAATTTTGCAATATTTTTTTTTAATAATTAGTAAAATTCCTAAACCTAAACCATTTTAAATACAGCATCGAAGCTAATATCAGACTTCGATGGTAGATTCGAAAATTTACAGAGATTCTTAGATGCAATTCTATTAAAAAATTATATAAAGAATAAATTGAGACAATTGAACATGGTACAACAACGCGTCTAAACAAAAAATTCGATATTCCAAGAAATGAACCAATGGCAAGAAATATACGACGCATTATCTGAAGAAAAAACAAAAGCTAGTAAGTCGTACAAATAATAATAATAATAGATTGGCGCTTACACATATGTTAGTGTTTGGCCGAGCTTCTCCTCCGATTTGTGGCGTGCGCCTACAGTTTTACGCCGACTCCGAACGGCGATTGTATTTTTATGAGAAGCTGTTTTTCATGGCAGAAATACACTCGGAGGTTTGCCATTGCCTGTCGAGGGACGACCGCTGTTAAGAAAAACCTTTTTCTAAATTTTTTGCGATGTTGCTTTGACCAGGGCTTGAATCCAGGTGCTGGTGAGTGAAAGCGCGCACTGCTTACCACTACACCACAGCGGCCGACAAATGCATAAATAAAAATGCTACTATAAAAATAGAAACAGTAGTAAAGCATTTGAACATAATTTTAGAAGCTCTAAAAAGAATAAGACAGGTGATCAATACAACAGACCGTATACTTACCAAAGAACACCAGAAAGAAGTCCGCCAATTTTTCTTCGCCGTACGAGATAAGTTGGTATCTTCTTTAGCTAGACACAATATAGAAGTAACAATACCAACCACAGTATAGGAAAAACTCCAGATCGATTTCAATTGAATTTTATCAGAACGTGCTCAGAGCCCGATTCCATCACCTTCCTTGAGCCAAACTCCATCAGTGGAAGAAAATAAACCGTTAGACATCCCAATCATAAACGTCACAATGGTGCAAACTGTAGTCGAATTTATTAAAACTGCTTCATCAGTGCTACCAGAGTTTGATGGTAAGCCGGAGAACTTACACAGTTTCCTAGACGCCCCTGATATACTTGATCAAATCAAAGATGATCACGAAGCCTTAGCGATAACAATGATAAAAACCAAGCGAAAAGGCACGGCAAGGAATTTTATCAGTACCGAAAACATAATAGAACAGATAAAAACAAAATTAAAAAACGCAATAAAGGGTGAATCAGTAGAAGTTTTAACCGCTAAACTCCTGAACATCCAACAACGTAGCAAAACTGCTAATCAATACACAGCAGAAATAGAAAAAATTACTAGGTCATTGGAAGGAGCATATATCTCGGATGGACTCAACCCAGACTTAGCAACGAGATATTCAACCCAAGCAGCAGTCAAAGCAATGTGTAAAAACTGCTCCAATGACAAGGTCAAAATGATAATGCAA